TTTTGAATAACTGAATGTAGTCAGAGACAGTTCAGGTTTCTTGGCTAGACTGGTTTGCACTGTTGGCCCATGGGATGATCAGTTTGGATAACACCAAGACCTCTTTCAATTCTAGCTTTGATGTGTTAAAAAATTTCCAAATTCTTCTAGCCACCCAATCACCTCTCCTAAGCACAAATCTTTATCAGTGATTATGAACGTGGCACAAAGATAATGTCCCATACACAGACAATGTCCTGGTTTTCCTCAGGACAGCTACCTAAGCATGGTGTGCAGCTTAAGTTCATATCCTTTGTTCCTTACTACCAGTGGTTAGGAAGCATCTTCCTAATGTGGTCCAGTACTGCTCGCTCTGCTGTCTACTCACAGCCTTGCTTTGTGCTCCTTGGATGTATTTTCAGGCCTGTTCTCTCCCTATTTGCAGGTTTACTGGATGTGAGAGTCTGAGGCACATTGTCAGAGGCTTGTACCATGCTCTACCATGTGAGGCACAGTCTGTGCTACATGCTGGGAAGAGGTGCAGAGCTATTACTGGGCTCTGTAGATCTTTAGGCAGCAAATCAGACAGCTTGACTTGTCATCTTTCCAGTACAGATATCTTGGGAAAAGGAAGAAGTTGCTCTCGAAGTTACCTTCACCTGCCTTGCTCCCAGTGTTTGATATACTTGAACCAAAACAAGAAGAAGGAAAGTCTATTTAAATTTCCTGCTGGAATGAGCTGGCAACACGTATTTATTTCCATGGCCAGGGAAGTGTACGGTACCCTTCTGATCTGCACGATTCCTCCCACACGGTTCCTTCCCTGGAGCATCCGTATGTTTGAGCAATGCCTTGCTTAAACTCTTGACTCTACAATTTGCTAATATCTGATTTACACATATAGCTAGGGCAGGTCCAGAAGCAGCACAGATGTGTTCACCTGGTTCTTCGCTCAAGTTTATGTACTAACAATGGCTTTCTTAATGGAACAGTTCACAATTGCAGCACCTTGAGAGTATGTGCGAGAGAATATAAGTAGGTTATAACATAATAACATGATTGTTATTAATATTACTATAATGTCAAGAGAACAAAGAGTTACGTACTACAAGTTATACACAGCACATGTCAGTTTGTTTTTGTGGTGGCCACCTTAATAAAAACAAATGATGAAAAATGAAAGCTCTTAATTGGTTGTACATCTGTAGTGTTGTAGCTAGCTGCTTCGGTCCCTTTGTGTGCTCTCACAACTAAACAGACATTGATTGTATTTACTCTGTTTGTAGCTATACAATTATATGCCTTTCCAAAACTGGTGTGAGTCAAACTCCTTCGCTTCATTGAGAGTAATAATTTTTTTAAAAAGTGTGAATTTCATGCACTATCCCCTTGGTTTCTTGATTTTTCTAGTACGTGTCAAAATATTTTTTGACTCCACATATCACTGATATCTTTCGGGAAACTGAAACCAGCCTGTCTCTACTGAACTCAGGAAATTGCAAATGTCCTTGAGGCAAAAGAAATAAAGTCAGGAGGCCATGAAGTTCAGGCTTACACTTCCACCTGAATTGTGCTCTGCCGTTCAGTTGTTGAAGACTGACTCGACAGATTAAAGGCTCTACCAGTACATAGGTAATGGAGAAACATGAAACGTGGATCCTTTCAGGAAACATGATAACATTAAAGCATCTGTGTGTTCAACGGAGAAACCTTTTGTTTTTAACAATCCTATTGTGGTTTAACCCCAGCTGGTAACTAAGCATCACGCAGCCTCTCCCTCCCTCCCCGCCCCTCCCTCAGTAGGATGGGGGAGAGAATTGAAAAAAAAAAAAAAGTAAAACTCGGGGGCTGAGATGAAGACAGTTTAATAGGAAAGGAAGGAAGAAAATAATAGTAACACCAACACCAATAATAATAATAAAAGAATTGGAATATACAAAACAAGTGATGCACAATGCAATTGCTCACCACTCGCTGACCGATGCCCAGTTAGCTCCCAAGCAGCAATTTGCCCCACTCTGGCCAATTCCCCCCAGTTTATATACTGGGCATGACATCACATGGTCTGGAATACCCCTCTGGCCAGTTTGGGTCAGCTGCCCTGGCTGTGTCCCCTCCCAACTTCTTGTGCCCCTCCAGCTTTCTTGCTGGCTGGGCATCAGAAGCTGAAAAATCCTTGACTTTAGACTAAACACTACTTAGCAACAACTGAAAACCTCAGTGTGTTACCAACATTCTTCTCACACTAAATCCAAAACATAGCACTGTACCAGCTACTAGAAAGAAAATTAACTCTATCCCAGCCCAAACCAGGACAAATCTAAGCCTGGTTTTATTTTCTCAGATACAACATTGCTTATTAGCGGAGATGTCAGACTGTTTCTATTCTCTCCTCTGGCACTGAGGTTAATGTTTCCTCCCTTTCTTTGCTTACTGTCACAGTTTCTGTGTTCCCTGATTTTTATTTTTTTTTTTAAATCTGTTGATGAAGAGTTCTACAAAATGGCATAAAGGTGGTTATGGGAAGTCACATCAAAATATCCTGCCAATAGTGAAAGCTTAAGGCAGGCTACGGGGACAAGAGAAGTACATCACTCTAGTGCTCTCTGTGCCCAGCAGTCTGCGTTTCAAATACCTCCTGAGCCAGACTTACTCAGACACAATTGACTAAATTCAGTCAGTTTAGTCAGATACATCTGACTAGATGTGCCTGTTTGCAAGAAAAACAATAAAATCTGAGCTTTTAACCTTAGGCTTTCTTTATAATCAATCAAGTCCTGGCTTTGATTTACCTCTACTAAAGAAGACACCAAAAATAGGAAGGATAAATCACACTCTTTTGTCCTTTCAGTATAGACTAAATCTAAACCTTCTTCTCAAAAGTCTATGAGTACCCCATAGGACATCAAAATCTGGTCATGGTGGGTTTCTTAGTGTTCAGTATCCTTTGATGGACTTTGCATAAATACATACATATTTATATATGTTTTGAACTCCTATAACATTTAACATCCAAAATATTGAGGTGAAAAGAGTTCTGCAGGTTAAGTGTGTGATTTTGTTTATTTTTGTTTATTTGTCTCCTGCTTGCATGAACAATATATATTGTAATTATATTACTAGTACTACTACTACTACTACATGACACGTTTTCTTATCTGCACACACTGAACTGTATAGAAACTGCCATGCTGATGTACTGAGACAACCTCTGGACACTCCTTTCAGACCTGGGCAACTGTGGAGAGTGAATCAGTATTAGCAGCAGAACCCCGATTTACTTGCTATTTCTCTTTTCTCTTTTTAAGAGATATTCTAAGAACTTAAATGCCAGCCAATACAATTTTCCTGATCTTTGACAAGATTTAGGGGACGATGTAGCAAAAGCCCTTAAGTTCTTGGGAGATCCTAGAGATCCGTGGCAATATATATTTTCCAGGCTCTTGGGAGCCCTTAGAAAAGAACAGTGGTTTGTTTTGAAGATAAACAAATCTAATATGGTTATGCCTGGTGTATCCCATGGGGAAAATAGCTGAAATTTGTTACTGGGGTTTTGGAGATGAAACTGTGTGGCATTATCAGTTCCTACAAATGGTGAGTAAAGCTTTCTGGTAGAGGTTCATTAGGAACCCCCTCTGGCTTTGAAATAGAGGGGGTGGCTTGTAAGTGTTACAAGGTCAGAAGTGTGCAAATGGCTCCATGCCTCCCAGCACACACAAAAGCACAACAGGAGCACCACCAAAGTCGGATTACACATGCCTTGGGATTTACTGTAAGTGTGTATTGAGTTTGATGCATTAGTGACCCAAACTGTTCATTCCCTCTATTGGGATGTGAGGGAAGTAAGATTGAACTGTGCAGATGGGGCTTCAAAATAAACTGAAGTAGATTGAATTCAGGTATTGCTTTCCCTGTTTGCTTGTTCCTACTTAGCAGGTAAGGGAAAACAAACCACTCGACAGGTACACTCCACTTCCTCTCTAGTTCTCCATCATCAAGAGTGAAGGAAATGGGATGGGAAGTGTGAAATAGCAAAATTGCTTCAATAAACCAGGGTGACATATCCCATCTTCAACCAGTGCACTGATTTTCATGGTGCTTTCCACAGAGTGGGATTTGAACCTTAACAGTGCCCCTATAAAATGATCTAATGAAACCTGAGACTGTATTGCCCTTGAATTGATGTCCCCTGGCCACTCTCTGCAACAGGAATGAAATCTTGTATTGATTTCTGGGAATGGGTCACATTCTTATTTTGTTGCTGCTTTGGGATTGCCTGCATTCTGGTGGCTGCAATGTTCCTCTTATAAACTAATTTACCTTTTTTTTTTCTTCCCCTCTCTGCCCTTTTTTTTTCTTGTAGTGGGCTGCCTTAGAGCTTTAAAGATAGGGAAAAAAAAAAAAGGAAAAGGTTTGGATCAAGTCATCTCAGTTTAATTGGCATTGCATTCTCTTTTGGCAAGAAAGTTGCCTTGTATTCACTGGGAATAAAGGAAGAAGGAAACATTAAGAAATGGGCAGGGGTGAAAGACAGAGAGAAAGACCTTTTAATTTAGTTTTGAGTCCTGAGTGAGGTTAATAGATTGTGCAAGACTCATAAGAAACTGTCGGAAGATCAAACTGAGCTTCAATTGATTTCTGATTCCTCTTTAAATTATTTCTTTCTTTAGGGTACATTTGCTTCAGTCTTATATGAGGAAGGAATACAGTAAAATAAAGCAAACACATTAGAAATTACACTTGGACAGGGAGAGCAACACAAAAACTGCAAACAATTTATAAGCAGTATAATTCCATAGAGTGGCCTTAGGCATCCGGGGTGGGGGTGTGGAAGGAAAAAAAAAAGATAAGAAAAAGAAAAAAAAAAAAGTTTGTTGCAGTTTTCTCTCGTCTTCTATGGCTGTTTTAATTTTTTTTCTTTTAAAATGAAACCTCAGAACTTACTGATGTTTCATCATACACTCGCTAGCTATTTTAAATTCGTAATTGTTCTTTCTCCACTTTTTTCCACCACACTTCAGGTTACAGCAACCCATTCCAACTGCATCATTAAAAAGGAGCAAGAGACTTGTCTGGAGAAGATACGGAGGGCAGCTGCCCTGAACCCTCTCAATGACTCTTCTCCAGGTGAGTTGCAGCTTCAAGGACCATGTACATTGAAGTGATGGTTTCTAAACATCTCCTGTCATGTCTGCAGGGGTTTTCAGCAATGTCAATGCAAATGTCTTACGGTAAGAGGTGCAGTTGCTGCAGCTGAATGAGCTTAGAGAAATGTTATAAGGACAAAAAATCAATCAAAGGGGATATACCAGAACAGCTGCTCGTTATTATCAGAGGTCAGGAATTTGCTTCTGTACTTTAGGTGATGCAGTGACGTATCTACAAAATGAATCCAAAAAGAAAAAAAGAAAAGAAAAAAAGAAACAGTATGCTTGGAAAGGCCTTTATGGTGTTTATGTCTTCAAAAGGTGCTGACAGCTATTGGGGACTGGACATAAGACTAAGTGCATCATTGGTCTGTTCTGTAACAGCTCGTTCCCCCTCATTAGCTCAGTAATAATTTATACCTCCTTCTCACATGATCTGAAGACTTTACGGGGATTAACATTGTGATGACTGTAATCTTGATAAAGAATACTTGTGCTATTGCTGCGATAAGAAACTGAGGCAGCAAGTAAAGAAGAAATTAATAGTTTAATATCCTGTCTCATTTCCCACTGACGGCAGCAGGAGCTGCCTATGGCCAGCACCGAAGAGAAGGGCAAAGAATGACAAAGAAACTAATTGGAAATCAGCATCTATTTTCTGAGTCCTGTCCAAACTGCTTCTACTGTGACTAGAATTGGTAAAACTGCAGAGAAAAGCAGATAAAACACATTGTGTGTGTGATAAAAGAAGGGAGATTTCACTCCCCTTTTCCTCGCCACATATTTTAGCCCAGAAGCAAGGGAGGGCAGGATGCAGATATCTGTGTTATCTGAGCATCCTCTGAAGCAAGCCAGTCCTGCATTTGAGCTGCTAGGAGTATTTCCATCAGCATCCTGCTATTCATCTCATGCCTAAGCTCATTTTTGTTCTGTTTTCCAGCTTTGGGCAAATGAACTGTGTGGTTTGGTGGCACTGAGGAAAGCATGTACTTCAGGCAGTTCATTTCAGCCCCATGTGTTTTTGAGACCCTCTTTGTACATTACAGAAGATCTTCCCAATTCTTCCCTGGTCCTGAAGTGGCATAAGCAAGGACAAAAGGGAAAAAAACTGGTTTTCCTCCCCTACCCCCAGAATGATGTCAGAAGCTGACCGTGAGCCCTACTTCTTATGATTAGGCAATGACTATTATTTGGATTCAAGAATTCATAGATTTTCCCAGGTCAGAAGAGACCATTTCACCAGCTAGTTTGTTCTTTATCACTCAAATCCAGAATAACCCTGGTAGTTGGGGGACTATTCAGACCGAACTCCTCCCCCCTGCCTGTTCCAAATTCAAAGAGCACAGCTCAGAGATAGAGGAGGTCCAGAGCCATTGGAAAGGCTTTTGCATCTCAATGTGATTAAAATGTATCACCCACTCAAGCAGGAAGGGACTGAATCCTTTCAAGCGCTAGCTCAGCAGCACAACCCAGCTGCTCTTTATTCTGTTCCCCCAGTAGTTTTGGATTGAATCACTGTAAAGAAGATTTTCCCAGGCTCACTGTGCATCTTTTAGTTGTTCACCACATCCTGTGGCAACAAGTTCCACAGTTTACTTGGCTTTGGGTAAAGAAGCCACATCCCCTCAAAGACATTTATTTTCCGGTGAAGAATTCTGGCATATTTCTTATTTGAAAGCCATTTCATTCCATGGATCCTCTTTGTTGCCCTTTCCCTCTACCTTTTTTTAATTATTGTAGACTTGTTTCACATACATTTCATTTTACCTCTGGGACTATAACATTCCACTCTATCCCCTTTAAGTCCTGACCTTCCAGACTCACCTTTCTTTACATGATACTTATTTCAAGCCAGATCCTGCCATCCTCATTCCCAGCAAAGCCTTATCTCTGTAGTTAAAGGATGGGACATCAACAGAGCTCTACCAGCTTCTTACTGTTTGCTCAACGTCATTGAGATACTACTTACTCTGTTCTGAATGACACCTTGCTGCTGCCTGCTAACAAGAGGTGTATCAACACGGGATACTCCAGACATGATGGATTCACGCTCCACAGTATTTGGGAAAATACTGCAGGTATCTGTTTACTCCAAAAGCACTTTTGCTCCTGGTCTATTACTGGAATGGAGCACTATTCACTACAGCTGAAGCTAGCTTTTAGGCTAAGTTATCAAGCATTGTTTGCAGAAGTTTCATTACGAAACTCACTGAAGAGGTAGTAACTGCCCATAAATTAAGGAGTCATATCTACAGTGTGTTGATTCCTCTCAATTTTCACCTGCTGCAGACAATCTATTTTTCACTTGGTAGAAGTGAAAATTGCCCAACATTTGGTTTTTGTTATTCATCTCTAGCGATAAGACTTACTAATGATGGCAGGTAGTGGAGAAATATATTATCTCGTTTCCTTCAAAGAAAGAAACAGAGGAAATAATTCCCTTGCTTGTCAGAAACAGCTGAAAGAAGGAAGAAATCCCTCCTGGCTGGTGAGTAAACTTCTGTTTATTCAAGAGCAAGGAGAAGCTTTTGACCACTTCTGCATGCAAATTTCCATAGAACAATTCAATGTATAAATTTTCTGAGGGTTTATTTCTCCTAGGAGGGGCTGCAGGCTCTAAAATAGGATTGTGAGTTTTTAGGGAGTCTGTAGAGACTTGGTCATATGTTCATTACAAAAAAATCCACCAAATCAGCTGAACTAGAATAACCTCTGTAAGCAAGGTAGCTCCACATTCTTCTATTGCAGGTGACACAAAGTCAGATGATCACATCTAAAACTTGAATCTGGGACAGGAACAGTCTTTGTGATCTGTATTTCTACAGTATCTAGAACAATAACATTACAGCTCATGAATCCTACTCCACAATGCCCACATGGTGCAAAACCCAATAACGGTAATAGTAGGTTCTCTGCTCCTGTTTAGAGACTGTGTCTTCTGCACTGATATTTCCTCTGCCTAAAAGTGCTGTATGGAAATCAATGCACTTTGAAGTCAAAAGAGGAAGAACATCTTATGGGTTCCTACATTTTGCAATAATTCAACTCTCCTGCCTTTGATTTGCCCCCTTGCTGTGTTCAGCATCTGTGAACACAGACATAAACTAAATGGTACCCCAGAGCTCCTCTGGGTGAGGTCCAACACAACCACAATGTTCATGCTGCAACTGCAACCACAGGTCCTGAAGTGGAAGGCTGGCACTGTATTATGGAAAGCATCCAGCCCTGGCTTGTCAGGGCTCTGATGTTTTCCCCTTTCCCTCCCCCTCTACCCCTCATGCCCAGATGTTATGCTTATCACTGTTTTATTCTTCACAGCATTGTTTTCTCTCCTGCTGCTGTGTAATGCCTATAATGCTTCAGAGACAATGACTGCCTTGAGATTTTCTGTTTGGTTGGTTTGTTTTTTTTTTCCCCATGAGTTTTATGATGGCTTCTTCTTCTTAAATGCTTTAAATTCTTCAGGAGCCTTTATATGAAAAGAAATAAGAGGCATGTGCTGACCCTATGTGTCCATCCCTGTTCAGCCACCATCTACAGCCTGAATGAAAGAGAGAATCTGAAGAAAATGAAATCAGAGCAGGACCCAGAATCTGACTCCTTCACTCTGGAGTGGGAATTAAAGTGATAAAGGGTAATAATGAAAGCCAAAGTCAGAAAAGAAAGGAAGGAGTGGAATGATTACTTCATACTCAACTTCTCCGGGCAGTGGAGCCAGGCTATTTCTTACATCTGTGTTCCAATCTCCCTTGTTTGAGTTTTTGTCCCTGTTCTAGTGTAGAGCTACCCCAGTTCCTGCTGGACCCTCTTCTAGCTGTCAGCAGTCCTCAAGGGACTTTCTGCCAGATAAGAATTGATAAAGCTCACTGCTGATCCATATGCACCCTTTTTCATTTTTATTTTTTTCCCATCCAGATTCTGCTCACCTGTTCCCGACACTGGGACTAGGAAAGTATGGCACAGGAGTTACTCAGATACTTAATCACAGTTTCCTGGGTCATGTACACTTAGCATGGGGTTCATCTAATTAAGTGTTGATACCTGCAAACGCATCTACATTACAAATGAGCAAGTCACCTTACTCATTTTGTAGCTATGCATATCTAATAAGTAGAGCCTGAGACATAATTCATTTCATCCTCAAAGTAGATTAGATAATGCCTTTTTTTTTCTACAGACATATATGGAAGTAAGGGTGACCATCTCACCTATAAATATTTACCCTGTAGATGTCTACATTTTATCAGACAAATCCCACCTTTAGCATCGGGCTCTGTTATACTGACTAGGTCATGCTAGAGGTCTGGATTACCCCAAAAAATCTGGACCGTGATTTTTACCGTGGGATGTTTTGATATGTAGGTGTCTCCTTCATGTCACCCACGCACTTAACTGTAGTAGATTTACTTAGACCTGTGTGAGCAAGTTTTGCAATAAATCCTTCCTTGAGTGGTGACCTCAAAGGACAGGCAGGCGTTCAGCAGCCTGCACATTCACGCTTGCCCCACGCGTGTGCCCCACGTGTGCGCTGACAAAGAGAATCTCTCAGCTGTCTTCTTCTTCCTTGTGGGCTTCTATCTCACCTAGTTGTAACTCCAA